GTGCTGTTGTTGGCGTCGATATATTAAAACGTATTTGTGTCAAAACAAAAACGGTGTGAATAAATCTTGTTGGCGAATAGCATAAATTAAATAAAATATCGGCATATTTCTAAGCACTAAATCCAGGGTACAGTTCAACTATTAAAAGTTAAATTATTTAACGCGGCCTTGGATTATTTCAAATTCTCAATATGTAACACAACTTTCAGCTATAATGCGTTATTTATTTGTCAGTATAACTTGGTCTTCTATCAGTACTTGAATAACTATATATAAAGTTTCAACTAGAAGTTCCAAAATTAAAGTTGTAAACCAAATAATAAGTACATTTCTCCAAAAATGTGCACTATACATCGATGTTGTATACAATCCACTTTAAAATGATACAAATAAAAAACTAGAAACAATAATTGTTGACTTTATATCAACAATAACAAACAGAAGTCTGAAGTATGTTTTTATACGACTTAAATAAAAAAATCGTATAAACAATTTTACATTATACAATAAACCTTAATAACAATGTACACATTTTTATTTATCTAAATTTTTGTGTCACTTTGACAACATAACGGTTTCGTATTAACAGTGATTTACAAATATGTTAATATATAATACAAGTTTTCCCTACTTCGTCGCGAACTATTACATATCCTTAAAAATTAGACAGTTTAATAGTATGATTACGGTAAATATAATCATACTAATAACAACAATTAGAAACACTCTGGTTTACCATTAATTCAATGTTGGAAAATATGGCAAATGCCAAAAATGAGAAAATGACTAGTTAAACACCACCACTGTTAAACTAAAGCATACCTTTGTGAAGTTTACTTTGAAGTTTGTGATTTTCCTTTTTAAGAAACTGAATCGCAGCTTCCTGCTTTCGGAGCTGTGTGGATAAAAATAACCAATCTTAAGTAAAGTTCAACTACTCAATGTTTATATACCACGATGATAAAGAAAGCTTAATATACTGACACAATAGATTACAAGTGAAGACCAATTATAGATGTTATTATTGTACCAAGATAATGCTGTCTAAGTAAGAACAAACTACGCAAAACTTTACAATAATAAGGAGGCACGTTTTAATTAACATCAAAACGTTTTGATTTTAATTAAAACGTATATATGAAAATTGATAACCAGAGATAGTACTTTAAATGCAAAAAAGGCATGTTTTTCACTACAAAGACAAAATATCAACATTATAAACATCGCAAGTTGTTTAAGAACTTACGTGTCCTAGAGGTAACTCAAGAAATGTAAGACAACTGTTAGATGGCTTAAAACAAGCACAAGTGAACACTTAAACTTAAGAACAAATAACCAGTCACGTTTAAAAAATCATGCTATGCATGCCTGTGACAAACACTCACATCATAGCTCATTTAAAGTTATGGCAAACACTACAGGAATGAGAGGACTATGTATAAGAGAGACTCCTGGTTCATAACCATAAACTGCTACTCTGTGAAATTAGTATAACAAACAGTTTTTTTACTGCGTCTGTAAACCGAAAAGGTATTATTATGCTAATAAGTTAGTAAAACAAAACCAACTAAAAACATGGCGAAATAACAAACTTCATAAAAATAATCTAAATTTAAAGTTTGTATAAATAATATACTCACAAAATGATTTTGTCTGTTTATTTTCAGTTTTTCAATGAAGAGGTTTGTCTAACTACATTTTTACCTAGAATACTGAGTACTCCACCTATTCATATCTAAAATACCCTAAACAAATTCATGTGTAGAATACTCCAGGTACATTCATGTCTAGAAATACTCCAGTAAACTCATGTATAGAAATATTACAATTAAAGTCATGTCTAGATTGCTAACAGTAAACTCGTGTGTAGGAATACTACAAATAAATTCATATATAGAAATAATCCAGTTAATTCATGTATTTAAATACTCCAAGTAAATTCATGTCCAGAAATA